CGTCGACGCTCGACCTGCACGGCTTCCACGTGGACGAGGCGGTGGAGGTGCTGCGGCGCCGCGTGGAGCTGTGCACGAGCAAGGGCATCCGCCGCCTGACGATCGTCGTCGGGCTCGGGCAGCACAGCCGCCGCGGGCACTCCACGTTGTACCCCGTGGTGCTGGAGCAGCTGCGTCACGACCCGGCGCTGCGGGGTGTCGTGAAGGTGGAGTCGGTGAAGCCGGCGTACTTCGAGGCGGTGATTGTGCCGCGTGGCAAGTAAGAGGGTGATGGGCCGGCAGCCGGATCCTGGTGCAGGGGGTGGGAGGCCTGCGAAATGCTTTAGGTGGTGATTTGGTCACTTCCGTATTCTCGTTCTCTTAACTTATTTGAGGCACTTATACATGCGTATTCCATTGAGTCTATATTCTATACTTTGTTACGACCCCGTCTTGTGTTTTGGACTGTATGTTTGACTTTGAACTGTATGTGCGTACGTGTTTGTATTTCTGTTGGGAATGGAGTGGCGGAGAAGGCAGCAACAACAGCAGCAGCAGAAAGAGGGAATGGCTCTCAGTAGTCGTGGCATTCTCATCGCCGGGGTGACGAATCGCGCGCGCACACAGATGGCGGAGGCTATTCTGCGCCGCATGACGGCAGGTGCAGTATTCATCAAGAGCGGCGGCGTGCACCACGAGGCGACCGTTCACCCGCTCGCCGTCAAGGTGATGCACGACATCGGCATCGACATCAGTGGCCAGTCCGTATCGTCGCTTACGAGCGCACGGAGGCAGCGAGACACGTACGACGTGTACGTCAGCATCGACAGCAGCTACGAGCGCAAGATGACAGATAAGTCGCAGCGGCCCACGGGCGATATTCAGCGGTGTGCGGCGGCAGACGCACATGATAACAACAACAAGAGAAACGACGGTCAATGCCAAAACCTGAAGGGCGGCCACGACAAGAACGGTGGTGGGGAGGAGGAGGAAGCGGTCTACTATGACCCGCTCCTCGTCCCAAGCACCCCGTCGCACTGGAGCATTGGCGCTGACGCCACGGATGTGCGGCGCCACTGGCAGGTGTGGAGCCCGCGCGACCCGAGCATCTTCCACGAAACCTCCACGCGCAAGTTTCAGGACCACCACTACGAGGGGGAGCCGCTGTTCATGCAGCTGCGCGCGAGCGACATGCGAAACCGGGCAAAGGTGTCGGAGCGGTGGGAGATGGACGAGCTGGCCACGCGCTACGCGTTGGAGCGGCACAGCGAGCACGAGGCCCGGTTTGTGCGGGCGCGTGAGACGCTACTTTGGCGGTGCGAAGCGTTGCTGCGGCGGCTCGAGGGGCACTACGGCGAGCGCCTGCTGCTGGACGGCGGGGTAGAAAAGCAGGCGTCCGGGCGCGGAGCCCAGGACACAATGGAATGAAGGACTGGAGATACCTCCCCTTCAAGTTTACACGTGTCGTTTGATTTCTTTGTCACCCTCTTTATTGTTCTTGTTGTTTTCTTTGTTGCTTCTCACTCAGTTTGCTAGTCCCTCTTGTTTCCCCGTTTGCTTTCTCTCCTTCTCTCTGCACGTGTTGCCGGCAAGTACCCCCACCCTCAGTTGTGGCTCCCAAGACCCTGGTGTTCACCCTGCCGCCATGTACAACGGCATCGGGTCGGTGAGTGTGAAGGGCACGGGCCTCAGCGGCTACGTGCAGCGCAGCAGAGCGGCCGTCTCGCAGCTGTCGAAGTTCACGCCGGCGGCGTACGGCGACGAGGCTCCGCCGGCTCCCGTCAACCCGCTCGAGGCGCTGCGTTCGGCGAAGGAAAATAAGGAGCTGGCGGCGAGGCTGCAGCGGCATCAGGCACTGCATGCCGTGAAGCTGAAGGTGCTGCTGTACCGCGAGGAACGCACAGCCAGTGGTGTGCCGGACGACGTTGTCGAGCGGGAGTGCCTCGCCCTGCACGAGTCATTGCTCCGCCATTACCGCGACGAGGCGGGCGAAGCGCGACGGCTGGAGGAGGCGGAGGCGGTCCAGAAGACGGCGGAGCGGTTCGCAGCGGCCTTTCACGTGCGGAAAGGCACCGCCGTCGGCGACGCGTTCGACCGGGCGCAGCGCGAGGCGGAGCGGCAGGCATTGGAGGAAAAACGGCGGCGGCAGTTGGAGAAGCAGATTGCGGACCGCGTGAAGCGCGTCCGAGGAGAGTGAAGAGTGTGGCAGCGCGTCTAGGCGGTAGCAGGGAGGGAATCCAAATATACGACTGTACATGTGTCACTCTGATCTTGTTTCTGTGTGCGCTGATTTTCTCTCTCTCTCTCTCTCT